GGAAATGGCTTTAACCCTCCCACTGTCCTAATGGCTGTGACCCCGCGAGGAAAGTTGACCATTGAGCAGGGTTGATGGTTTATCCCTTGGGTCCACATGGCTGGGGTGAGGAGTGAGCACCTCAAGGGATAAACCATCAGTCCTGCTCAATGGTCAACTTTCCTCGCAGGGTCACCCATAAAGACAGTGGGAGAGTTAAAAAGAAAATGCAGGAAAATACAAGAATTATTTGTTTCTGAAAGAGCAGGGTGAACTAATTATTTGGATAAAATATCAGTAGCATTTCCCTTTCTATAGCCAAAGCATTTCTTTGAACCTTTTTATTTTTGTGGTCAAAACACTTTGTTTCTTACCTCTTGTAAATACCTATTTGAAAAAGAATTTTTTAGATTGAAAACAAGAATCATTTCACTTCTCGGGTTGCATTCTTCACTACCTGTAACTTAGTGAAGAGTTAGTGGAGAAAAACACTTTAGTGAAACCCTAACTTTTTCAAGCACTTAATTTTAATGGTGTAGAAAGAGTTCATAAATAAGTACACAGAAAATGAAAGGAGTTTATTATTTAGGGTTACCTTCTTCAGGACTCTAAGCTCTATGGTCTTTTAAGTCCCAAACAGAAGACGATAAGCATCAGTTTCCATCACGATGACCTCCTGGATTATTCCACTCATGGTCAGTCAGTAAAAATCAGTCTTGAACAACGCCATGTAAATGAGAACATAAGGTCTATGTGCCTGCTATTTTATTTTAGTGGAAAGCAACACGCTGCAGAATTGTCTTGCACTGAGCTACAGAATAGACTGTGAATATTAGAACTGATAAGCGACTTTCTTTCTTCTAAAGAAAGTCACCAAAGAAATTTATCTTCACAATCTTATTTCTGTTGAGAAAAGTAAATTGTTTACAGTGTAGACTCTTATTTAACGGAATAAATGGCCAGTGAGCAGTTTCTCACAACTTGTTGGAAAAGAATGTTGAAAGACAAGAAATAACAGTTCCATTTTTGCCTTTGTGATCCTGTTGTGCCATCTGTCATCTCAGGCTTCAAAGGTTTAGTATATGCCTGAACACATAACCCTGCCACAGCAATCACAACTAATCCCTTCCAAATCATCCCATAATCCCATGAACTGTATTGCATGGATGTAGCAGGAAGATAAAGTCATAAATAAAACAAAATGCAGCAGCAAGTGTCTTTTCTATTTGACGGTTTTTACAAAGGTTTTAGGAAATAGCTGCAGGTGACAACATTTTAGTGTTTTTGTGATTCATGTCTTTCATCCTTCACCATTGGCTTTACTTTCTCCCCTTTTAGCTTTTGTTTGCCAGCTGTTATGTTTTGTGGCACAGCTGTCAAGGCTTAGGCTTCATTATTATATTGACATTGCAAGTGGAATGATGGAATAGCATGGATTCCCAGAAGTAAAAAAGTGGGTTTTTCTGAAATCTGTTTGAAGAATTTGATCTTCTGTTTGAGCATTCATCCTTTATGTGTCCTTTGATGGCACATGCAGTGGCAACATGAACAAAAAAATAACAATCTCAACTAGGAATGGGTAATATGGCCTAAAATCTATATCGCGGTAAATTCTGAAGCACATGCTGTACTGATATTTATCACGATATATTCTTTTCTTCTGTTTATATCATCACCATATATACTGGACAGTTCGCGTCCATAGGCTCGAATGATAAGTTTTTGTGCCCAAATGGGAGGTTCCCACCACCACCGTTTTGACTGTGTCACATGTCCCATCACGCCCAGACAATCCAAAAATGGGAAAAGCGGTGGAACTAAGGGTGGGGCTGTTACGTTTAGAACAGGGTTGGAACAAATGAACCAGTGTTGCTACTAGCTAACTTAGCTAACACAAGAAGCTAAGAAGGGCTCCTTGGACCGCAGTATCCCACCCACACTGCAGACTGGCTCCTGCCCGAGGCTGTAGTCATGCTGATCACTTGTGGAGATATAATATGGGCTGGGACTGTTTAATTACAAGCGGAGCCTCAGACCGCTGCGATCGTAGATGGGCGCCGTGACCTTGGAACCTGGGCACTCGCTCAAGGTTCTTATGCAGCCCCACTAACATGTTTGACCAAGCAGTTGAGTGACAGAGCATTGCCCCCCATTCAACCAACAAAATAATACAAACATATAAATTTACTTACTGATAAAAATAAGCAGAAACTGCTTGGATGGTCTATTAGTTACCACAGCTTGCTCTTTTGTCCAACTAATTCCGTGATTAACATCCAAACATGAAAACAAACACACAGACAAAACTAAAGTTCAGAGAGTCAGAGAGTCGCTCACTTCTGCTGCCAGACCCTAGCGGATGAGGGTGGAACTGCAATTTTTGCCACTTCTTTTTTGGCTCCATATTTGCTGCAGAATGATGGGGGCTTGGTTATACATGTAAAAATGTTTTTGAACAATCTCACTTACCAAATGAATTGCAGAAAAAATTAATCCTTAAAAGTAGGGTTGTCATGGTAACCAGTGTAGGTAAACCCCAGTAAAAAAGTTGACAATAATAATAACCGTCTTGTTTTAAAAAAATATATTATCTCGGTAGATTATCGTGGCTGCGGAGTAGGTGCGGTGACCCTTACCAGCCACCGTATCATCTGCTGAAGTTGCCGGCGGCACATGCGCACTTTGTTGTTTACAACCAAAACTTTCTTGAAGTTAAAGCTGTAATAATAGCCAAAGGAGGAGATGGTAGTGCTCTGAACATTTATTATCCCTCAAAGAAGAGAAAGTCGGAAGTATGGGCATTTTTTTGATATTTGAAGAATACCGAGGGACAGTTTGTAGAAGACGGCTATCCTGTTTGCAGCACGTGCAGAAAAAAGTGTCTGTGAAAGGCAGCAACGCTTCAAATCTCATGACACATCTGCGTGACCATCACCCACAACTCTACAGTGAACGCAAGGCAAGTTAACGTGACCGTTTTAGCTAAAATGCGTGATCCGAGCATTTGGGTTGAGGGAGAATGCAAGGAGTCGCTATATAAAGCAGCCACAGCGCCCGCTACCTGCTTATAAACCGTGTCGTGGACACCCCCATATTGAAATGACGCTATGCATTACGGGGCTCCCAGGGGCAGATAAGAGTTTATTAATATTTTCCTGATATACAGGGTTTATTTAGCTGTCTGAAAATGTAACACGTTTAAAAGAATACCGCGATTGTCAGGTAAAAATTCATAATCAAACAGATTTTTCACATTTTAAAGTGTTGTAGAAATGCTTCCTGCCTGAATGCAAATTGTCAGGCACATCAAGGCTAGACTTGGTGACTCTTTGGTCTGTCTGTAGCATCCAGCTGTGAAGACCCCCTTGAAGACTTCCTGTTATCTTCTCATGTAGGTGTGGTTATCTTTGACTTGGTCCTAATAAAAGCGCTCCGCAGGTTTGTTTCTGTGTGAGAACAAACCGCCTCTGACTCTGGTGTGTATGTTTCACCCTTTGCAAAGTTCGTTTATTGATTGTTGTTTGATGATTACAATTTCCAAAAAGATCTAATCCCTCTGTGTATGCTCTGACTCTTTTGAGGTAATTTGGAAGTAATATAGGAATTACCCAACAGCGATAATACCGAACACCGTGATAATTTTGGTCACAATAGCCATGAGGTTAAATTTTCACACCGTGACGACCCTACTTAAAAGTATAGAATACATTTCAGTATAAATAATTATTACAAATTACATTTAATTTTCTAAACTTATTGAAATAAATACAAAATATCTCAAATAGTTTTTATGTTGGTTCTTTTTCCAATCAATGCAACAAAAATTATCATTAAATGAATAGAAATTAAGTTATTTTAAATCAAATACAAGCTCAAGTTGAAGTGGTAGCAGCCAGCTGTTTTTCCTCTGATATTATTGAGCGGAGAACCTCTCACACCAGTGGTGTTCTGCTGATAAATGCATGAGTGTGTAAAGAATGGAGGACCCAGAGAAGTGTGGTGGTTTGGCTAGACTGATAACTGAATGGTCCAGTGGCTGCTTTCAGTCTGAAACGTGTTATTGGCAGAGGTTTAGACAAATTCAATCAATCACTTTAATCATTTTTTTAATCTTCACTTCTAGCTTTACTATTTTACATTATGAGGCATGAAAAAAATATTTAAGCTAATTTGTTTTCCAAATTAGCCTTTGCAACTGTACCTGCATTATGATGTTTATAGAACTAGATTTTACCCCCCATCCTTGCTGCAATAAGTACTTCTACTCTGGGATAATTGTTGATTTAACAGAACTTCCTTTGAACTTGTGTTCATGAAAGCAGTTGTAGGATGTTTTATCATTTGTTTTTTTTTCCACATCGCTGACCATTTGATTGTTTTAAATGTCAAATATCTGCATGGAAGGCTGCATGGTTCTTACTCAAGATTTGTAGTAATTTCCTCAAGGTTTGATGAGTCCTTGTATTTATAGTTTTGAATTTGCATTACCTGACCTTTCCTTGCAATAATCTTGAGTCAAAACCTGAACGAGATTATTGTTGTTGAAATTTCATGTTTGAAGAGCTCAGACCTCATGTGGTTTTCTAAGATGGAGGTAACATCTTCTTCCAGAGAAAATATTTAGATCTCTTAAATAGTTTATTTTTTTTAATTTTTTAATGAACAACCTAATGAGGTATTTAGATTTGTATTCCTCATTTTCCTTCACTTCTCTGAGTATATTCATAGTAATGAAAGAAAAATGTTGGAGAACCAAGTTATTTTGCTCTTGGACTGTATTTGTACTGAAAAGGCTTCAGAGCAACATAAGATGTTATAAAGTTTTGCAGCCCACATCAAGCATTTTTGTTTTATTACATTTAATTTAACCTAAAAGATGAATCACATCTATTCTATTAATGCTTTCTGCAACTAAAACCAGATAAGTCATTTGTAGCTCTATGCTAACAAGTTGTTCTATAGCATCTAATTAAGTAAAACTTTAAAACTAACTAACTCACCCTTTCTTATTTTTTTTGCAGTGAAGAAAGCCAAACTCCAGGGGCCACCAGGTAAATATTTCTAGTATTTTGGTAGACATTTCTTAGATTTGTTTTTTAATCTCACACCCTAAAAATGTTTCACATTTTAACACACAGATTTAGAAGAAGCTACTTTAACTATAGAGAAATCCAACTGCCTGGGCATCAATGGTCTCCTGTTTCTTAGTGTAACCCTCAAGACGACTACGGTCTCTGTGTTGAGTTGTTGGTGAATTAACACAATCTAGAATTTAAACATCTAAGGCCTCATTACCGAAAATCCATTCATCCATTTTTGACCGCTTCTCCAGAGTAGGGTCGCTGGGGCAGCAGCCTCAGCAGGAAGGCCCAGGTTTCCCCCTCCCCAGCTACTTGGGCCAGCTCCTCCTGGAAAATCCCAAAGCATTCCCTGGCTAGCCAAGAGACATAGGGTGTGTCCAAATCCACGGGCAGGATGCTTATGAGTACGGGTCCTCGCCGGTCTAGCAAGGCCCGGGTCCTTGCTAGACCGCTAAGACCGGAACCCAGTGGCTCTGAATTCGGACAGTCTAGTCTTCACCTCTACGGTGACCCGTAGGTCCCGTCACAGCCGTGGCGGCAGCTACACACAAAGGAAAAATGCTAAAGCTAGCGAAAATCGAGCAGGAAAATTAAGGAGCTACAACAGCTTCACGTCCATCAGCAGCATTTGTTCACAACCGTTTTCAGGTAAAGTAATTTTGTTTATTCTTGAAGCTTTCAGGACTTACATGTTAACTTTAGATCGTTTCATGTATGTTTTAAGCTACATAATGAACTTGTTAAACGTACACAACACATTTCTACAGAGTAATATCGTATAGGTAATTAATATAAACCAAATGCATTATAAATGTTGAATGTAGTAGGATGTTTTCTAATGTAAATTGGACCGTAGAACCTCTTATTTTGCATCAAATGGGGTAAAACGTTTTAAAAAACAGGCTTTTAAATAAAATAGCATTGAAGTGTTTTCAATGTGCATTTGTGTATTCAACTTAAGCTTAATAATGATTAGATCTGTCTTAAAAATGTAAAGTCTCTGTAGTTTTTATTTAACTATTCCCTGCTACTTTTCTTTAAACTGAACAGAACCAGTGTACTTCAGGTTAAATGTTTGTTTTACATTTTTCTATTAAAAAAACTTTTTTAATCTATTACAGGTCAGCATGCACTGTCCTGCACATCTGCCTCATTGCTGGTGAAGTTGTGGGTCTGGAGGATGAGCCTGAGGAAGATGTGTGTGGAAGAGGTCAGCAGTGCTCTGTCCTGAAGGAGGTACCAGCAGACCACCACTACTGTTAACAGGCAAGTCATTTTGTTAGGACGCTCTATTAAAAACAACACTGTGGTTTTATTTGCTGAAGAGTCACAATTGTTATACCAGTGGATCCATAAACCATCTGAAGTTCATATTTCTGAATACATCTTAGAGATGTAAGAGTCGTCGTCTGAGGCAGCCCAGCAGTCCCTGTAGATGGACGATGGAGTGGACAGTGAGAGGAAGCTGACACACCCTGTCCTGTCTCCCCGTTTTGGTTCAGCCTTGTGTCTCGTTAATTGCTCCCACCTGCCTCTCGTTTCCCAATCACCTTAGCTCCCGGCCCTCGTGTATTTAAGCCCCTTCTGTTCTGTGTCTTGTGTCAGTCCATTGTTTCAGTGTCCTGCGTGTTTTTCATTAAAGTTTATGTTAAACGTTCTACCTGTCTGCCTGTCTTCCTCCCCGCGTGTGGATCCTCGCCTCACCTTCACTCACCTCGCCCACACGCCGTGACAGAAGCGTCCCAAAGCTCTCTCTGCAGACCATCCTGTATGATGTTCCTCTGACCAGAAACTTTCAGCCACAGGTCTGTTCCAGCCCTCCATCCACGTCTGGATCCTCCTGCAGCAGATCCAGCTGCACTGCCAAAGACTTCCTGCTCACTCAGTTTAAATAAATGATCCAGGAAGTGTCACTCAGTTTTATCCTGCTTTAATCGTACATAACTGGTCCATACTGATTTTGATCTGTAAATAATCTTGTTTCCTTACCATCCTTTCATTTTCTGTTCATGTAACATGTTCAAAACATCTGTAATAATAAAACTGGTGATAAAATCAATGACCAGAAAGAGTTATCAGTTAGTATTTGTTTTAAATGTGTTCAAATATCAAACAGCTAAATAACATTAACATGATAACAGTAAAGGGCCTCTCTCCCAGGAGGACCACCAAGGTAAAGCCTCTCCTGACCCTGGACACCTGCAATCCTACAGAGAAAATCAGATTGCAGGTGACAAAAAGGCAATACAAACATTTTTACATTTATCCACATGAGAAGATAAAAATTATATTCTTCACACAAACTATTTTTACTTCATTAAAACATGTCAGCTGTGTAAATCCCTGAATGTAAAACTACTTTTCACAGCAGAACACAGAAGAACCTCTGTGGTTGTTTGTATAAACAGCTTCCCTCTTCACCTATAAGCTTAATAAAAATGCTTCTTTGCTCTGTTGTCCTTTAAACAAATGACAAGTTTAATTTGCTACACACACACACACAAACGGGACTCGTGATACAAACTCGTTCTGGCTGATTTCTGCCTAAAATGTAATTTAAAAAAAACAAATATACAAACGAAAAATGTCTATAAACAGAACCGCATTAAGCTTTTTAGGTTTCTACAGCTAGTTTTTAACAAACTTGCGTTTAAAACTTCGTAGCTCTCCCCATTTTCTCTTCCTGTTGAAAATCCACAGCCGGTGCGCAAATCATGCTGGGCTAGCCTTGTTCTGTGGGGATACAACAGACTCGTCCTCGAAATGTGGGTGGAGCAAGGACGTGAGAATGAGTATTCTTGAAATTCGGACAGTACTCTTCGCTGCGCTGTGACGTCATTGACCTCAAAATGCGCTCTTACAAGCATCCTTCCTGTGGATTCGGACACACCCATAGTCCCTCCAGCGTGTCCTGGGTTTTCCTTTAGATCTCCTTCTGGTTGGATGTGTCTGTAAAACCTCAAAGGGAGGTGTCCAGGATGCATCCTAATCAGATGCCAGAGCCACCTCAACTGCCTCCTCTTGATGTGGAGGAGCAGCAGGTCTACTCAGAGCTCTTTCCGGATGACAGAGATGCTCACTCTATCTCTACGGGAGAACCCAGCCACCCTCCGGAGAAAACCCATTTCGGCCGCTTGTATCCGCGATCTCATTCTTTCAATCACTACCCAAAGCTCATGGCCATCGGTAAGGGTGGGAACGTAGATGGCCCAGTAAATTGAGAGCTTGTTGAAAATCTTTTATAAATTCTAAATAACGTCATGATGCCATTCTTGGATATTAACCAAGTGTTATTTACTCACGTATGGCTCATGGGTTAAATTGTGATAAGTCGCTTGAAGCAGAGTTGATTTTGCATTATGTAATCCTGTGTCCCGGGCAGACTGTGGCCAGGTGAGTTTAGATTGGTGGCTTCTAAGTCCAAATCCTCAATGCTCTCCACCTAAGCAAATCCTTCAAGTGTGAAGCTCACACCTACTTTTAAACCCTGAGACGTTTCTGGCAAGGGCTGATGGAAGCTCACCTCAGCCATAAACAGCCATCTGTGACCCTCCTTTTTTTCTAAATGTAAATATTTAAAGGTCTTTGTGCTTTGGCTCCTTTGTTTTGGCTTAAATATACCACTTTACACGACTTCTCAATGTGTGCTGGTCCTCTTTAGGACTTCCTCCCCCTGCTATGGGCCACACAACATGTAACACCTGTTCCAAAGCAAACACTGTAATCCAGTAAAGCTAGTCGTCTCTCTAAGGTTGAGGTGAAATACTGTTATAGGTCACTTTTATTTACATGTTCAAATTGAGCTTGTTAAATGGTGAAATAAAGTAATTACTGCAATATCAGTTTCACAAAGAGCACATTTTATTTCAGTGAATCATAAACAGTCATTTTCAAGTGATAACTGTTTGCATGTTGATCAGATAGATTCTCACTTGTGATGATTTCCAGAAATAGAAACAAATTGGAAAACCAATTGAGGAAGCTAACTTTGAACCATTCTTCTTACAAAAACTCTGAGAGGAAACTATCTTTTATATAGCACCTCTCAAGATAAAAATCATGAGGTGCTTCACAAGAACAAAAAAACAAATAAAAGATTAAAAAAAGATGAGAAATGTCATTAAATTGGGAGAAGTAAAAAATTGTTTTTAAAAATATGTGAGGGAAGGGAAAAAAATGAATGAGAGTGAGGCAGTCAGTGGATCCTGGGAAAGGCATCATCAACTGAAGGCCATACCAAATCCAGCCTGAACAAGTGAGTTTTCAGCTGCCTTTTAAAGGAGACAACTGAGTCCACTGATCTCAGGCTCAGGGGGAGAGAGTTCCAGACTCTGGGGGCCACAGCAGCAAATTATCTGTCACCTTTGGTCTTTAGCCTGGTGCATTGCGCAACCAGTAGGCTTTGATCACTGGACCTCAGGGACCTGCTGGGGGTGTAGGGACTGAGAGGATCACCAATGTAAGATGGTGCTTGTCCATGTAAGGCCCTATTGACCAGAACCGGGATCTTGAAATGAACCCTGAAGTTGACTGGCAGCCAGTGAAGATGGAGGAGAAGCGGAGTGATGTGAGTGTACTTTGGTGATTTGATCAGAAGTAGGGCTGTCACAAATGATTATTTTAATAGTCAATTGATCAAGTTTTTATTGTCGATTAATCGACTAATTGTGTCGTGCATTAAGTTTAGCTTTTTACACCAGAATGCAGCTGCTCCAATATACCCATCATTGGCTTCTAGTTTGAAGTGTGATCAGTTATGTGCCATCTAAACAAACTCGTCCTTTGAAGAGGAGTGTTTTTTGATATATATTATAAATCATTAGCATTTTTAATGTTGGAGCAAACATGTGACAAGCATGGGCTAAAGGTAATGAAATCACCATTGCCACTGTGGTTGCTAGAGCTATGAATAAAAATAACTCACTGTTGCTGTTGGCAGCTAACGAGAGGTTCTTCACTGTATGAGCTTCTCTTTTATCTTTGTAAAATGCTCCCAAACTCTTGAGCTATGTTACCGGCTCGCCATCATGTATTTCCGGTGTTGCAGCGGCCGACTCAGATGGCCACTACTGCACTTGTGCCTCGAGCAAAAAGCAGTGGCTGACCTGAATGGCAACCACTGTGCATGTTCCTCAAGCAGAAAGCAGAAAGTGCTGCAGCAGGCAATATGAGAAAGTGAACAATGCTTCATAAAATAAACAATGTCAACTATTACATTTATTGTTGACTATTTTGTTTGTTGACGTCATTGTGACGAATTGACTAATCATGATAGTACTTGACAGAAGCCGAGCACATTCTGAACCACCTATAAACGGTTCAGGGAGGGAGAGGGAGAACCAAACATCAGGAAAGAAGAGTTCAAATCATGTAGTCTAAAGCTGCTTTCTCCTCCAGCTGACTTGCACTATCTGAAACAGGTGCATCCCCAAGTACGACTTACAAGGCATTCATTCCTATTAGAGGCCACTGCAAATGAATGATTGAATGAGTTAACCACACCTTTAACATCTGCTGTTCAAACAAGTAACTGTTATGGGAAAGAATTGGATCATTGCACTTCTTGATGTGTACAAATTACTTGTTTTTCCAACTTAAACCTCTAACACCAAGGCAACAGCAATTTAAAATTTCACCCAAAGTAGTACATCACAAAAGATAAATGTCAGCCCTCCCATTCCACATGTAAATCAGTCAGCCATATAACTCCTGAGACAGCCTTAGCTTACAAAACAAACAGAAGGATGAATGTTTGAGGTGACAGATTACCAGTTTTTCATTTGGTGCAGCTGTTCATATTAATGTAGAATCCAGGAAGGATGTTATAAGAGAAGTGCGTTTTTATAAGAAATAAGCTCTGAATGTTTTTGTTTTTATTTTTGGCCCCTTTCCAGCTATTCCTTCCTACTCATTGTTCCCCATTTCCTCATGATAATCTTTATTTGCTCATATTAAAGAGATGTGTGACTTTCGGAAGAGGCCTTAACGTGTGCATAAGGTTGGTTGGAGCTCAGTGTTTGCGTTGTGCTTTCACCACACCCACAGTTTGGTGGCTTTTTGGTCTTACACATGAAAATACTGCACATGAAAAGAGTGTGACCTTGACTGGGTTGGTGCCCAGCTGTCTCACTTTCCACTGACTACCACAGGAAACTGCAGCTTGACAGACTGTCTTTTGTCTTAACGTGAGCCTGTCTGTAAGTGTAGTTGTTGTTGTCCCTCTTGGATGTAAAGCAGACTTGCAAATGTAGATTTTCTGACTGAATTCAGTCTAGAACTCTAGATTAAAGGAATATGTCTCTGTGAGCTGCTCCCAGAAAAGTCATTTTGCCTGTTTTCCATTGCATGCCACATTTGAGTGTTCTGAATTGTAAATGTCAGTCTTCCAACTGCCTGCATTTTCTGTACAAATTTATTGAAAAAAGTCATCATCGATCAATAATAAATGAAGACATTTGACAGGGCGGTGGGGGGAGTGGGCGGTTATAGACAGGAGTGGTGACTTCTGTCTCTGAGCATCGTCCTTCAATTAATCTAATCTTTAGAAAAATGACAGGTCTGTGTGCACACACACGTGTTTATGCCTGCCAAATACAACCCAAATGATGATCAAACTTTTTTTGTTATGTTAGGTATTTGTTTGTCGAACAAAAACTAATGAAAGAAGTTAAAAACAATCAGAGGTGAAACTCTAGGTCTGAAGCAAAATCATTTGGATGTACCTTCAACAAATTAAAAAAACACATGTTCAGTTTAAGTTTAGTGACAAGAAATAGATGGTTTCACCTTCAGAGAGACCAGTTAACGTTGCTGTATAACTTCTGTCAAGAAGTAGACCAATATTGTTTTTTCTATTGCCAATACTGATGCCGATATGTAGGGGGCATAGTCAGCCTATGGTCTGTTTGTACTGACTATTTTCATGGCCGATATGTAGACATTTCCACCTTATTTTCATTTGTAGTGATGAGCTGTTACATATATGTTTTAGCCACGACTAAAACAGATGTTTTTCTCTGGCCTTTTCTAGGACTGTGATAGATCTGTGACCTCTGCTTTACACACACAATCAAATCCCTGCTACACTTCAATTTAAAGCTAAATGTTTCAATGTCTCAACTGTCTGGTCTCCATACAAGAAAGCACTGCACATGGCCTTGTCACCGGATAGACGTGATAATTCCTAGCCACCTTATCTTGGCTGGTTCTTGGGGTTCTGCACAAGGCCTTGTCAGTGTTTTCTTGTTTGGAGGCCAGACAGATGGGGTGTTTGTGTCTGCAAATTAAAAATGAATCCCTGTACATTTTGATGAATTACTTGATATTTGGGTATGCCACAGTAAGCAAATCATTTTGGTGTAGGACACAGGAAAATACATTTACAAGTTGTTGAGGTACTACCAATGTGCAGATGCACATTTGTGTGTTGCCCATCAGTCATTACTGCTTGTATCAGCTGGATAGTGGAAGCCACCTGCTGTAAAAGGCCCACAACCACTAAGTGGCTCTTATCTAATCCATACATCATCTTCCCTTATCTGGTATTCATGGGAGCTGGCCCAAGTGTAGCACAAGGCTTTGGCTATCTAATTAGGGAAAGGCTTGAGCATCCCCCAGGCTCCTTCATAATAATGTTTTGTTGCTGCTTTCCTCTTGAAACACTAATTAAGTTGGTCTTCTGCTACTCGTGTGGGTTGTAGAGGCCTGGCTGGTGTGGTTTCAGTTCAACTCTTTTGTTATGGATCATAAAGTACGTTCAAGAAGAATCCTCCTGTTTCAACGGTTTGCTGTCAGGAGCTGAGTTTACTTGTTTGCCTCCTGTGTCAACGGCTGCTTCACGGTAAATGTTTAGATATGTCGCTAGGGTAACCAGGAAAATCTTTGTTCAGTGTGGTCATGGGACCAGTCTGCAAAGTAACAGCTGATGACTTGGTTTTGTTTCCCAAAGACCCTAAGTTGGAAAATGTGTTAATCAAACTGAATCTATAGCAACATATCTCTATATTTGATGCCAAAAAGGAAATCAATGCAGTTACTTTTCTATTTTTTGATCGCACAAGTTTAAGTAAGAAAGTAGTGGTTTGTAAATTACGAGTCACTACTTCACCAAAACAGAAACTACGCAAGCAGAGCTGAGCACAACAACCGGCACGTGTTGTTTCCCTCACCCTGCTGCAGGAAATGAAAAGCTGGTGTGACACGAGCCGTCTAATCCACCTGCACTCGGTGCCACTCACCCTCATTCAGTGACGACAGCTGGCACTAACAGCTGCTTTGGCTCTTCTGTCCATACCGCATGCTGACAGGAGGCTGACGAGCATCACTGGGTGTGAAAGTACAGACCGAAAGATAGGCACTCAAATCAGTGTCTTGCTTGTGAGTTGTAGCACCCATAGTCTCAGCAGAGATCATTTACTGTACTGTCACAAGAAAAGACTAGTCACATTCAGCCTCTGGATTACAATCTCACAGTGCTTTTATTTTTTTCAAGCAGGAACATTTAATCTAGCTGACTCCATCACCTTTGACTCAAGTGAATTTTATTCTTCCAGTCTTGATGGTATTGGGACTGACGAAGACCTTTTATTCCAACAGTATCAGGTCAAACGTGACTTTACTTTATTAGTAGGCCGAAGCAAACATCCTTTCTTTGTTTTGTACTATAGATGCAAGAATTAGGAGTTTGTGAAAGAGAAACTGTAATTTACTGCTCAGAAAGGTCATGCTGTAAATGTGGAGCCTGTTTTTGACGAATGAAGGTGGCTCACTGGAGATTAACGGTCAGTGTGCTGGCCTGGCCTGGCCTATGGTCTGTCTTGGCTTGATGTCAGGGGGAGGAGATTTATCTGCTTTTACTCTCACTGGCACACTTGATCTTTTCCAACCGCACAAAGCTCAAGCCTCTTTTAAAATCCCAGCTAGAATTGCTTGAATAAATTAAGCTTCATATATTTTGCACCATTTCAGGACCCCAAATTCTTTTGTTTGAGACCGAATTTCCAGAACAGTTAATTTAGATTGCCACCGCACCATTTTAAATCACTGCATTTTTTTTTACCTCTTGGTGAGGTCTTGATATACACTGACCAGCAGCTCCATTAGATACACTTGGCTAGGTGGATGCCATTTTTCAGTCTTAAAACAATTTCATTATTTGTATCATTGATTTAAAAAATAATTGGAAATATTTCTCTGAGGTTTTGATCCACTGCTGCCTGTCATTGATCTAGAACAGAGGTAGTCAATTCCCTTTCCTGAGGGCTGGTATCCAGCATGTTTTCATTGTTTCCCTGCTCCAACACACTTGAATCACCTACTCCACAGCTCATCAAGCTCTGCAGATGCCTGCTGAACAAAAGCAGGTGTGTTGAAGCAGGGAAACAACTAAAACATGCTGGATACAGGTCCTCGGGGAAGGCAGCTACCTCGATCTAGACCAAGGCTGCTCATTCACAGCTAATGTCAACAAGAGATGTTCATCCCTCAACTGCCATTCTGTATAACTTCTCTTTATTTTGGATCATTCTCTTTAAAATCTAGAGGATTGTAAAGATTCTTTGACCAGTCTGACACTGACAACGATAACACATTTAAGGGCTCTTTCATCCCATTTCCTATCTTAAGTTGTAATAAACATTTAATACAATTAAGAGGAGAAAAAATAGTGGTTTCAAATTTAAGTGACTGAGCTGTTTGGACAGTGACACCGATCTGTGGACCAAACATAAAATTTACCCTGATTTTGTTTTGTGTTAATTTTTGACCCTCTGTTGGTTCTTTGACATTTGTTTTGTTTTGTTTCAGATAAGTTCAACACCTATGTGACACTGAAGGTGCAGAATGTTAAAAGCACAACGATCACAGTGCGTGGGGATCAACCCGGCTGGGAACAAGATTTCATGTTGTAAGTTATTAAACACACACACCAAAATAAACACACACAATACACTATCCAAAGAGCCAACCCACTCTCAATTATTAATCAATTGGAGGGATATCGGCAGGGTTCGAGTAAGGGGGAGCTAGGAGAATCTGGCTCCCCCGAAATGGTAATGGGCCATAACTGACAAACCCACAAGGAGGCCAAAAAATTGTCCAGCCCCCACTTCTTAGAGGAGCAAACTAGCTACTACTGAGTCGATTTGACGAACGACCTCCCTCCCCGCTCTTACTGACTACGTTTACATGCAGCCAATATCCGGGTTATGATCGGGTTAAGGTCGGTATTCGGGTTTCTGAGTGGATCAGAATAATCCGTTTACAAGCATAAATAGAAAGAGTTACCCCTAACTTGCATAACCCGATTTAAATGCGGACGTTGGGGTAGCGTCAGGACGTATGGACTACGTCCAGAGGCAACATGCGTCATTTCCGGTTCTTCTTGTTCCGGTATCGGTGAAAACAACATGTTTCCCAGTTCGGAAGAGATAGCGACCGCGTAAACAAAGCCTGAATTTAATTCAAGCCCAGGGTAGGTATTTTTGTTATTATGTGACTTAAAAAAAAAGTTTTTAAAGATGTCATGGCTCAAGCTGGGTGTGTCAGATCTGGATCTAGTTAATTTCTCTGTCTTCTTTGCCTTTTGTTTTAATAAATTGTTTTAATCTCCACATTATTTTTGTTCCTAGTCAAAGGTGTCCATGGTGACAACAAAGTCAACATGTTTTTGGATGTGTCATTGGTTGTCTTTTGTAAACTCTTATCAATGCAACAGTGTTTGTTTTTCCAGACCTTCATCTTTCCTTCTGTCCATTCCTGATGTGTCAGCCCACCATGATTCAACATTTAACATTCATTAGAGTTTCCAGCAAGTGTTTGAGGCCATCTGTTGCAGCAGCATTAGTCATATCTGACAGTCCATCATTTTGCTAATTCATTTGATTGATTTTTTACTGCAAAAACATTTTCCAATACTTTCCAGGATAATGTAACTAATTCTTGAAGTAATGATGTAGTGTTTTAAAATTGTTAGGTCCCTGTATGACCGGTTTTGTCTCAATGGACTTAAATAGTGTTGAATTGGAGGGGAAATGAAAAGTGAATTATTCACCCTTTGTGCATCAAGTTACCATATAGGACCACTTTGTGTGTCCTTTTAAGACCAAGTTCACTCATTTTTCGATTTATTTGCAGTGGTGTCTAGTAAAAATGAATGCCTTGTCAGTCTATCTCTAAGGGGGAAAAGCTCTCGTGCTCTTGTTTCAGAAACTAGAAGTGAGCCACAGCAGAGGTAACCTTCAGACGGCAGGATGTGGAGACTTATTTCCTGACTTGGAATCTTATTTCCTGATCCAAAGGTTTCAGATGAAGGCAACTGGACTTCTCTGGTTTCTTGAAGACGTTTTGCTTCTCATCCGAGAAGCTTTGTCAATTCTAACTGGAATGTGGGGGAGTCAAACTTATAAGCTGTAGCTGTCTATTGTAATTGTTAAATCAACACAGCCTTTCCTGTTGTGAGCCAAGATGGGTGATTCCATGAATGCTAACTTGACATGCAAATGTCACTGGCTTTTCTAATCTGAGCTTTTCCCTGTCAATATTCTATCAGCGGTTAATGCAGGAAATCGGCATAGAAGACTATTTTCACATTTAGCCTGCTAGTTATACTCAGAGTGGCCAATCATATTTTAAAGATAACAAGAAAAAAATAATCAGTTAACTTCACCATTAAGTTAATATTTGCAGCCAAAACCAGAAACTTTATCAAAAATCCTGAATAAAATCAAACAGTGTATTAAAAAATAGAGCAAAAATGTGAAAAAGGGAAGAAAAACATAAAAATAAAAAATAGGAAGTTCCAAAACATTCAAAAGGTAAAACAGTCTGTGACTGTTGGTGACTAACTGGAGACATAATTGCAAGAAAATGTATATTTCTGTTAGCCTGGCAAGCCATCCTATAGTCTGGCCACAACCCATAAACAGAGCTCAGTCGTGGGGTGGAATATGCAGTTGTCTTTCAAACTGTCTCCGCAGCGCTAGGACCGGTTAGAGCAACAAGCAAAATGACTTACTCACCGCTAAGGATGTCAGTCAATGGAGCAGTTAGCCATACACCATCGAAGAAGATGCAAATGCATCCTTTTTTATACATAAGTACTTCTGTCTGCTCTTCACTCAAATAAAATGCTGTCTTGTTCACATTAGCAAGATTAGAGATCTGTGTTTGGAAAGTTCCTCTAAGTTGCTGATAAAGGCATCCTAGAACAAACAAATGTTAAATAATTATTTGAAAAGTGGTTTTACTCCTGCACAGCGATGTGCATCTATAGGTGTTGGAACACCTTTGTTGCTATGTGCTACAATAAAGCTTCTTATTCAACAGTATTTGTTTCTAAAGTATGGGGGAAAAATATCCACATCTTCGCAACTGAATAGCAACAGAAACAGAAGCCTTTCTGTTAAAATTAAACTCTGTTTGATTCTGATACCTTGTTTCGTTTATTCATTCTGTCCCTTTTTGTTTGATCAAATCATTTAGGAGGCTTTTATTCTCTGCACCTGGACACTCACCGCCCTCCCCCCATGCTTGCCTCAATTAGCTTCTGTCTTTGATTCTCTTTTCTCACATCTTCCTTTTGTTTGTGTTCTCGCTGGTTCTAAACTGCCACAGATGAGAACATGCAAATGTCCTGGTTGTGCGGCTCTTTTCAAATTGAACATCCCATTCTGCTGCTGTCATCAAGCTGTTTTTGAGCCTTTTCAATAGCTTGTTGAATGAAACAAGGCAGGGGTGGACCATAACAGCTAAAACATAACAAGTTGCCTTTGTTTTCAGGCAGTTGTAGGACCTGACAAGTTTGTATGCTGCAATTTCTACATTAAATTTGAATTAATAATCCTGAGCGTTTTGTATTTTTCATGTTAGCTGATAACAGTTTGGACCTTTTTTAATTCCAGAACTTTTTCATTTTGTTTATGATATTTAGAATTGGTTTCACTCAATACTTACTTTATTTTTGTCTTCATCAGCGAGATCAATCGGCTGGACCTCGGCCTCATCGTTGAGGTTTGGAACAAAGGTCTTATTTGGGACACCATGGTGGGGACATCCTGGATTCCTCTTAAAAATATCCGACAATCAGATGAGGTTAGAGTGTAGATTTTCACAAAATTATGTAATTCATTTTCCTGAAGTTGTGTGTGTGTGTGTGTGTGTGTGTGTGTGTGTGTGTGTGTGTGTGTGTGTGTGTGTGTGTGTGTTGTGGTTGTCGTTTTGGGTTTATTTATTTTTATTTTTTTTGCAGTGTTTCCCTCCCAAATAATATTTGGTTAAGCTGCTATAGCAAATTTAGAAAACATTGACTTTAAAAAACATATTGAGAACATTTTAAAAAGTTATTAAAGTGGTTCTCTTGCATTTTGTTTAAAACTACCGCTAATTACACGGTTCAGACCAAATGCAATAGTAGCAGCAGTAGCTTAGGAGGTAGAGCGGGTTGTCCTGTAATCAGAAGGTTGCAGGTTCTATCTCGGCTCCCGCCAGAAAATGCTGCTGTTGTGTCCTTGTGCAAGACACTTAACTCACCCTGCCTGCTGGTGGTGATCGGAGGAACCGGCGGCACCAGTGGTCTGCAGTCTTGCTTCTGTCAGTGCACACCAGGCCAACTGTGGCTACATTGTAGTTCATCTTGATCGTGTTGTGAAGTGCCTTGGGGGGTTGTAGAAACCTAAGACGGCGCTATACAAATACAGACCATTTACCATTGGACACTTTCTCAATTCCTCCGGTATCACAGGTTTCTGGTTCTGGCAGAAGGGTTTCAGGGAAGATACCTGAGGGGAGAGGTGATTGTTCCATCACCGTGTTTGCATTCAAAACCTAGTTTGTTCCGTAAATTCGTTCCTGCATGTGCAATTTTGCCCATATTGATTTTGTGATTGATAGTGCTTTTGTTGTAATGTGACTCCAGGAGGGCTCTGGCGAGTGGATTTTCCTGGATGCAGAAGTCCTGATGAAAGCAGATGAGATATACGGCACCAAGAACCCAACGCCACACCAAGTGCTGCTGGATACTCGATTTGAGCTGCCTTTTGGTCAGTTGGCTGTAAATTATCTCATGGATTTTCACTGTGACACTGTTGTCAAAAATCTAGTATCAATATTTAGAAAGTTCAGTGGCCACTTGGTTTAGTACTTATTTACTTTATGTCACTTACTTTAGCAATTAGGATGTCTAAACAGTCCCACAGGCTCGTGGATTAATCTCTGTATAAACGCTGTGTCACAAACTCCCGGATGTTTATGCCGGAGTCGGTGTTATCGTAAAAAGCTTCCCTCCCGGAAGTTTCTGGAGGAAGAAAATTAAGGTGACACAACTCCAGTTTTTAGTGAAATATTGAAAATAAAACACAGAAATAGCGTGTTTTGACCTGAAAAAGAATGGGCTGGCTACGCCAATTATTGAAAGACTGGGTGGCTCGACCAATTATGTAGCGTATTACTACATACTAGAATCAACACTGTTTGCTATCAGTTGTTAGGTTCTGAGAATGATCAAGCAAATTAGCATATGAAGCTTATATCATGTATAAATATCAAGGATACGTATATAATTGATAGAAGTTCATACACCAACCTGCTTGGTCTATATTTAATCCAAAGATTATTGTTTAATTTAAGATACTTAAATTTAATAGCAAAAGCTTTTTTTTTTATCAGAAGTTGGGAATCTTTGCTTTTCCAATAACCAGAAATACACACCATTCTGTGTTTCATTTTAAAGGTGAGGCGGAGCTTAAAAGTTAAGAATTTATTACTAACAATTTTAAACTTGACAATTTGAAATGACAATTCAGAAATGACAATTAAAAAGGACATTTCATGGATGACAATTGACCAGCTTTGATATTAAACTTTGTATCAAAAGCTTTACCTGTGTCTGGATGGAAAGCTAAAATGAAATGAGAGCTTGAATGCGTGAATGGATTCTCAGAAGGTTTCTGTCAGAGAGAGGAACTCGTTCTGGGTGAATGCTTGTTTTGCAGCTAACTCGGTTGTTACTTAGAGAAACGGCATCAGACGTCATCTGTCGAAAGTGTCTACTTCACCCAGTTTCAGGAGACCCCCTTCTGGATCCGAGATGTCAGGTGGAGATGATTTCCTCCGGGCACGAGGCTGGTAGAAGGACCTCAATGCGACCAAATCAGTCCTGGGATGTCTCCGTGGGTCACACGACTAATGAAACTATTTGCATCTCAAAATCATTAACTCTGAAGGAGTTTTGCATCTTATTTAAAAAATCAATAACTCTGAAGGAGTTTTGTGTCAGCTGGTTACAGGTGCGTTTATTCGAAGCTATTCTAACGGCGTGACAGAACAGCAGGTGGAGGTTCAGGGTGGCCGTCCCTTATCCTCAGGATGGTGGTTGGTTCACGAACTGAAGTTACAGCTGCAGAAGATTTAGTTTTAACAAACCCACAGAACACGCCCTCTCAGAGCAAAAAAGCTTTGCTCTTGAGTCAAAGACATGTGATGGCAGTTTACTTTTACTCTGGATACCCTCTGCGTTGGATGGATAAAGTGGAAGATGACTTTCTGGTTTACTGAACACACATAACCAATTATCACAATAATCATTATTATACCCAAAGCATAATAATTCATTTCAGTAATTAAAATACATTTATACTGAACCAAGAGATTATTTATGATTATAATAAACAGTAATAAAGTCAAAGAGTTTATTAAAATTATTATTTAAAATTATTATTGGGATCTTGAAGTGTCCTTCAATCTGGGATGGAACAGCAGCAGACAAAGATGATATTCAGCAGACATCATGGCTCCTCGCTTGTTTAATCTGTGGGGCAAAGTTACAGTCGACCCAGCTTGACCCAGCTGAGAAAATGTGACCTTTGTCACACATTAGAGGCCCTTCGTGACGCTACATCATAGTATGATTTCTTGTCCAATTGGAAAATGCCATGTTAAGGGGTGTTAACAAGAAAACCTCAGAACATCACGCCTTCTTTCAGATACAGGATGCGCTGATTTGGGGTAAGGAAATATCTATGTGTCACGACTTTTAACTTAACTTTAATTTATCCCTAATGAACCTTGTGTCTGAGTGTAGATGATGATTGCCTTGTCATATCAAACATTACTGATTATTATATATATAAATCTTTCAATGTAATATAATAGCATTCATTTCAAACTTCAGTAATTCAAGCACAGACTCCATACATCCATCCATTTTCATCCACTAATCCGGAGTCGGGTCGCAGGGGCAGTAGCCTAAGGCGAGAGCCCCAGACTTCCCTCTCCCCAGCCACTTGGGCCAGCTCCTCCGGGGGAATCCCAAGGCGTTCCCTGGCCAGGTGAGAGACATAGTCCCTCCACCGAGTCCTGGGTCTACCTTTAGGTCTCCTCCCGGTTGGATGTGCCCGGAAAAGCTCACCAGGGAGGCGTCCAGGAAGCATCCTGACCAGATGCCCGAGCCACCTCAACTGGCTCCTCTCGATGTGGAGGAGCAGCAGGTCTACTCCGAGCCCCTCCCGAATGACCAAGCTTCTCACCCTATCTAAGGGAGAGCCCAGCCACTCTTGGGAGAAAACTCATTTCGGCCTCTTGTATCCGCAATCTCGTTCTTTCGGTCACTACCCAAAGCTCATGACTATAGGTGAGGGTAGGAACGTAGATCGACCGGTAAATCGAGAGCTTCGCCTTCTGACTCAGCTCTCTCTTCACCACGATAGACTGGTACAACACGCGCATCCAGGGTCCGAAATTAAATTTTTGACTCACCGGCCAAGTTGGCTGGTAGATGATGAAAATCTACCGGCCAAGCATATTTTTTACCGGCCAAAATTCTAATTGATTTAGATCTACCTAAAGCATGTTATTCTATATTATGTTGATTCCAAACAGAGTGACAAAATAATTAAAACATCAATTAATAAGAAAAACAACTCTTTTGTCATTTTTACTATTTATTTATTTTTTAGCGATGTTTTTATGAACTCTTTCATTGAAATCTAGTCAGACTCCTTGTTTTCTCTGTCCATGAAGTCTGGCCTCCTGCTTCTGTCATCGTCTTTGTGCCAAAGCATTACAGCCTCATTTGGTTCATAGCCCTTGATCTCTGGAGAACACAGCTGCACCATGAGAATATCTGACAGTGTGTCAGGGCTCATCTGACCTCTAGTCATTTTTAACTTGCTTCATGGTGCTAAAGCCTCTTTCACACTCAGCAGTTGAGGGAGGGAGGGACAGCATCTGGTCGATCAATGCCAGCAAATCAGGGCAGGAATGCTGAAAGCGTCTGTTTACTGCGATCCATGACATCTTCGGCAGCGACCCAGGCTCTTGATACATGAGCGACTTGAGGGCAGTCTACTGGCCAGGAATGCTTTCAGCGTGGACACCTGCGGTCTCCAGGACAGGCCTGAAGTGGTCCAAGTGTTTCCAGTTCTGCATCATCAAAATCTAGAACAGTGGTGTAAAAAGAAGGCATTAAAATAATTAAGCATGCCGTTTTTATTCACAACCTGACTGGACAGCTCTGATAAACCAACCTGCTTCTTCATCTCCTGACTGTGGCCAGTTGGTGAAGCTGACTAGTTTGGTGGCATGCAGAATCCCTACACTGGCATCCTGGAACCTGTGATTCATTTTCTCAACTAGCCTGTCGATCTCTTCTGTCTGTGAGCTGATGAGGGCCTTGTTATCACCTGCTCTTGTTAGTGTTATTCCCTCATAGCAGTCTGCAACTGTGGCTTTCATCATGGGTCCCTGTCTGATAAATAACAGCAAAATACTTTCTTCCCCTTTTCTGGTGGAAACTTTAAAAAGAAAATAACTATAAAAGTACTTAAATAAACATACCTGGTTTTGTATTTTTCCAGTACTGCTTGTGTTGAACTCAAGGTGCCATGGGCCTCTGCTACAGTGATGACAGATCTCTGCAGACAGGTGGACAAGTTGTTCAGATGGGTGAGGGTGTCATGCAGGAAGCCACAAAACTGGACAATAACAGCTTCCCTAATGGTGGAGTAGTATGTTCTGGCCTTGGCCTGCTGGACACCCCGGATATTTTGAGCATCAGGAGACTGAATCTAAATTTAATTTAAAGAAGAATTACACATAAATAAACAACTGTTCTCTATAGATTAAGGTAAATGTTAATAATTCTAACTAATTTTATAGGTCATTACACATTATTATTACTTAGCCAATACCTGCTCAAGGTGTTGTACAAGACCCCGGTATCCTCGCAGGAAGTGGTCCAGGGCACATAGCAGGTGTCCTACCCAATGGGTCCCACCTATTCTGGTGGGTACCAATGGCTTTTGGCCAAGAACCTGAAAGCTGTTAATTAGGTTTACCCTGTTGAGTGGACTGGTGTGATAGAAGTTGTATAGCCCAGAAAGCAGATCTTCCACTTTCTGAAACATCGCATTTGAGCACATAGCATCAGAAAAGCTCAATTCGCTGCGGTGTGCCATGCAGTGGATGCCGATGATGTAGGTTCGGCCACCCTTCAACTTGCTGACGACTCCATTTTTTGCTCCAGTCATTACTGCTGCCCCATCTGTTCCCATAGCGACTAGTTTGCTTCCCCAGTCATCACTCACTTAATCCATGATGTCACTAATGGCTTTGCTAATGTGTGATGCGTCTGCCTTCTTCACTGACTTGATGCCAACAAACATTGACTTGATTTTGCCTTCGTGACTAAATCTTACATATACCAACTCCTCCTCTTTCACAGAACTGTCTGTGGAGCCATCAGTGGTTAGATAGAGAAATTTTGTGTTTTTAAGATTCTCTCTAATGTTGTTTCTTTCTACCTCAGCAATATAGTGCATAAACACTTTGGCCTGCTTTTCATTCCTGTATGTTGATCCCACAGTTATTCCCTTTTGTTCATCCAGACTGCAAAGAATGAAAATTGAATGTTAAAAATAAAAATATATTTCTATATTTGCATATTGTAAATATACAATAATTTTAATCAACACAACTTGCCTTCCTGGTAATAACATTTTGTATTATTATAATTAATTTGCCATATTTCACATCTGAACTTAAG